TGCCAACAATCCTCGTTTGAATCAGATAGTGGAAACAGAAGAAGGCAAAATAACCTGGATGACAACATCAAATCCTATCTAATCCTTCCAGCCCGACAGGAATGAGAGAAAGAAAAACGTACAAAAATAAAAAATGAAAGGCAAACAAAACACGTGAGGTAAACCAAACGTTTTGCTGGTACCAAAACCTCCATACCAAATAAAACTTCTCATCTCATCACAATATTACACTTCATAACAACCCAGATTTTGTAAAATGTAAATGACAATTCACACGTTTGTGTTAAAATGTCTGGTTTTGACATTCATTTGACATTAATTATGCTTATCACTAGTCCTCGTTTAATAATCATCATTATAATAGTAGTAGTAGCACATGGAAACAAGAAACAGAACATTTAATTGCCCTTTTCTGACCGATCACCTTGCTTTGTAAACAAAGAAATGGAAAAAGCCCTTCCCACCCAGCCCCCACCCCGGGGTGTCAGTCGTCAGGGTCTCAGTCTCCAGCCTTATTCCAACGGCCCACTGACACAGTCTGAGCAGTTCTTGAGTTTATAACTCATCCTTGAGGTTAGAGTCTGTGCCTTCCTCCTCCTCTTCTTCCTCCTCCTCTTCCTCATGCTCTTCCCCTTCCTCCTCCTCTTCGTCCTCCTCCTCCTCCTCCTTCTCCTCTTCCTCCTCGTCCTCCTCCTTTGCCTCTTCTCTCCTCTTCTTGTTCTCCTCCTCGCGCTTCTTTCTCTCGTCTTCCTCTTGGCTTTCCTTCATCTTCTTCTCAGCATCCTGGAGAAAATGCGAACAATGCAAATAAATATATCGACCTATATGAAAAGCTCATTCCTTTTTATTAGTGTTGACACTGACGTGAAATTAGAATTAGGATTACAGGGTACAGGGCTAAAACGAGCATACCTTAGTTTTGCCCCATGTGTCGTTGCCAACTTCCTCTGCCAGGTTTGGATCGTTTGTGATTAGAAAGTTGTCAAAGATAGTCCCAGACTTGACCTGCAGCCAGACACAAGGGTAACGCATATTTTGTTATCAAATCTTTAAAGAAAACAAGCACAATCACAAACTCAAAGAGTTTCAAGCATTTCTTCCTGAGAAAACATGCAGTTTTCCCAGCAGCTCACACAATACAGAGCAAGTAACCAAATTGCTGGATCAATGTAAATAGTTTTAAAATATTTCAATAAATTTCATTATGCATTAAGATGTAAATACACATCCAGCTTACCTGCCACAAGTCGAGCCCAATCACCCCGACGCTGTCGTATTTATAGATCTCAGAATCGGCCGTGTACTCGGGGTTGTCAATCTCAGGGTGGACCCACTTGCCCTTGTAGGCAGGGTTGTCAATCTCTCTGGGCTTCCACTCACCCTGCGGACAGCAAACACACACAGAGAAACTGGGGTTAAAACACAAAGCGGCTGACAGTGTAAACAGAGCACATATTTTTGGATAATATTCCAATCCTATTCTAGGAAGCTCGCTGATGTGCAAAGCTCAGAAAAATAGCACAGAATAAACACTGACTGCATGAAGAGTTAGAATCACTGGATATGCACCTTGTATTCAGGGTTCGTGACCATCGGTGGCTCCCACTCTCCATCCATCTCATCATCCCAGTCATCGGGCTTCTTGGCATCAGGATCTGGGATGTTCTCTGGTTTGTCCCAGTCCTGCAATGAAAACAAAAACAACAAAACATTTGAAACATGATCAACCTATCGAAACTTTTAAAAAATTAAAACAGTGTTGCACACGTGAGACAAGTACTATCATTAAAGTGATGCCCTGAAAGAATGCCAGGTCACACTGACCTCAGGTTTCTTATCGTCAGGGTCAGGAATCTTCTCCCTGTCATCCCAGTCCTCTGGCTTTTTGGCCTCGGGGTCCTTGATTTTTTTGGGAGGCAGGAAGTCCCAGTCATCCTCCAGATTGCCAGATTCCACCTTCTTATTGTCTATCTTAACCTCATAAGTGTTGTCAGGGTTGACGACCAGTGTGTACAAGTGGGTGTACTCATCATCCTGCAGGGCAGAAAAAAAGGTCAATACATGCAACTAACAGCATATTACCATGTAGTTTATTTTTAATTGTTTAAGCCCATGTGTCCTTATATTGTGGTGCTTTTTATTAGAACTAGCTTTCCCATGCGTCACCTTGCACCGGATGTCCTTGTTGATCAGGTGGTTCTTGCCTTTGTAGTTGAAGATCACGTGAACTTTCTTTGTGCCAGGGCCGCAAATATCAGGACCTGAACGAGCCCACAAATACAAAGTGACAGTGAATGTCTGTGTATAGCAAACACTGCTCTGTTTATCCAACAAAAGCAATACCATTTAACACACCATCCTTTGGTCCACTTACCAAACATGATGTTGTAGACAGAGTCTCCATGCATGTCCTCCTGGTTGAGCTCGGAGGGAAACAGTTTAATGTAGCCTCCGCCACAGTCGATGCTCTGCTCGTGTTTCACGGAGAACTGTATGACTAAAGGCTGGCCCTTGTTGCTGAAGTCATCAAAACGGGCTGACAGTGCATAAAAACGGGCATCCTGGCTCGTCTGCAGACCTGCAGAAACAACGGTGTTACTGCAGGGAAGATCAAGCTAAACCAGCGAGTACTCCTGTTCTGTCTTAATGAAACAGTACGGGTTAATTTGATGCTCTGTTCTCAAGTTGAAGAACAGAGAGGAAGACAGCCGTGTTGATACTGGCAGAGCTCCACGAGGAAGCAAACACGCGCCTCTGACAGCAGGTGTCTGACAGGGTAGTACAGTGTAATTATGCAACACATAGCAGCGCCTTCCTGCTTACCTTTGTCTTTCTCTTCATCACCGTAGAATTTCCCAGCAGTCAGGACAAACTTCCCATAATCGGACTTGTGCTTGGATTCCACCCAGCGACTCATCCAGGCATCTGCACAAACAGGTTCAGAGTCAGCTGCCCAGCAATCACCAAGACAAGACTCACAAAACTCTGTTAATCCAGCCTTCGATACAGAGTGTGTGTGTGTGTGCGTGTGGGTGGGGGGCATACTGCGGGATTTTGTGACCGCCTTCACAGATGAAAGAACAGGACAGCTGGGAGAAGGAGGGTAGCAGTGAATGACCAGGGGAGAGATGTGCAGCAGTGGGGGGAGGGGGGAGGCAGACGGGGTGTGATAATAGCTTTGAGGGCTGGGAAACATAAAGCAGGGAATATGAATAAATCAATGAATGGATGAGTGATCGGTTGGTCTTCTAGACTAATCAGCTGACGATGTATTCCACAAATTGCGGTAAAATCATGAGAAATAACCGTAACAATCCACGCCGATATGCGGACATGAAAAATAGCCATCATCCATCTCAGTCAGCACCACAGCATCTCAAGCATGTACAGCAGCAACAAAGAAAAGCAAGCACTTCAGTCCTATCTGTGTAATGTTGTGTGAAAGCGCTCACCGCCGTCTTCAAATTGCTCGCGGAAATAAACTGTGGACTCGGCCAGTACAGATGCAGCCGACACGGCCATCAAAAGCAGGCACAGTGCTGTCATGGCGACGAGCTGAAGCAGCCGGTCAAAAACTAACCAATTACAAATAAAAATGCCCGTGTAGAAAGATTTTCTCTAAATAAGGCGAAGCAGCGTTGTCTGTCAGTGCGGTATCCCCATACAGTGATGCTACAGTGAGAGCCACCGAGACGCTGTGGCTTCTCTCCTCTCGCCTCGGAACAGATGTCTGAATCTGATTGGACGACGGTTGCTAACCTGAATAAGGAAGCGCTACCGCTTAAAGCCAATCAGAGGACAGAGAATCCGGACGAATACTTTCTGCAGCCAATGGGAGCAGACCACGCGTTTGCCTGATACACGCCCAAAGGAAGGATGATGCGCCGTGGGTGAATCACATGCAAGGGGAAAATGCAATATCAGTAACAACACGAGTATAACTAAAGCTAAACAACGTGAACTACATATACATACTTACAGCAAATAAAAAAAATAAATGAAATAATTCGAATTGGTAGGAAAAAAATAATGTTCTATAAAAATAAATAATTTTTTACATTCTTAACAAATGTTTTCACGCCTGATCTCGTGCAGCATATCTATATCACCTCAGGCGTGATTTTCTTGCCTTATGTAAACCAAACTAAACACAGGAGATTCCACAGAAATATACATCACAGGCGTAACAACTCTGTAATAGGTCCCAGGGCAGATCTTTTGGGGGTGTGTCCTTACCTCCACATTGTACCAGAACAAACACAGCATAGCATATAGCAATAATGAGACATATCAATGGCATCAGTCCAGCTTGTAACCAGCACCACGGATAACAACCGCAGTCGGGGGTTGGGTCAGCGGACAAATTTACTTAAAGCCTACAAACACACACACAAGCCCAAAATAGATTCAGCCTTGCTAACGTAACATAAAGACACCTGTAATATGTGCAAGCTACAAAAAGCCACAGGTCCTCGCAGACTTACTCGATGGGTAAGCTTATAACAAGCACACTGATTTATAGAATTCCTCATTCAACAATTTGTTTTCTACATATATCACACACTCACATACTGACAAGTGCTTATTTTGAACATATGACTGGTACCAATGTTTCAAACCTTTAAACAAACTTCATCTCTCGGGCCTTGCATTCAGCAAAGTCAACACGTTCATAGGGAGCAAGAACAAGTAATTTAGTTCCCAGCATCTATCAAAACATTGTAGAGTGTAAAATTACTGTGTCAATATTTGCACAACTGAAAATGTAATAAAAATGTATAAAGCATAAAAATACAGGCTTTCTCGAGATAGAATTATGACTTAAATATATAGTGGTTCTCTAGTCCACTTTACTGTAATCCTGTCAATATAAGTACCCAGTGTAACATAGAGGAGGGCCCTCTAAGGTAGTTTTCTCGTCTGGGTCCCAGGCGCTGCCCTGCCTGCCATATTCAAATTCGAACATTAATGTGGAGTCAAATCACTGAAATCGATGAGGATTGTTGTTTACCAGGTTTTTATTTCTTTAAACCGTGTCTGACAGGTTCTCTCTGTGTTCTTATTGTGATGTGACCCTCAGCTTTGAAGCAGACTGTGTTGATGATAAATGAATTATACCAACAAAAGAGTAAAGCACACCACTAAGTAACAACTGTATATTAAGTAACAGTACAGTAAAACCTATAAAATGTTTTTATAAAACACAAGTATGTAAAAGGGTGAGTTTCCAGAGGTCCAATGCTTTAGAGACAAAGTCCTTCACAGTAAGAGCTTCAAGTAACACTTCCATCACCACTGGTCCTTGCACGTTCATTTTAAAAAGAATAAAAAAATCTAACAAAATAAAATAAGTGCACATTTAGAGTACTCCACGAAACTAATCTGGTCCAGTAAAATGTTCAAATATGGCACAAATGATATTAATAAATAATCTGTGCTGATATAAGCACAATGTTTGACATGCCACTAGTAACACATGAATTACAAACTCATATGAACACAAACAACAGTGCGAGTCAGACTTTGGCCGAGGGGATTAGATATAAATAGTGAAAAGGAAAAAAAAGTCTCCCTCTGCGCCACACTCTGCACAGACACCATCTTCTTCACCCCTTCGTCTTGACAGGATTCAAACCAGGCAGGTGAAGAAGAGCAGCCACACTTCCTGTGACGCTGCCCATCTCTGCAGGCTGGGTCACGCTGCTCTGCCCTCTAATCCTGGATCTGCCCTGATGTCTGGCCTTCTGTGACGGGACCTGGACAGACACATGTTGCATCTGTGGGGGGAGGGGGAAGTATGCAGTGCAGAGCAAAGAAGACACATCTCTGTGGCTCTGATGGGCTGGTAAAGCAATCTTACACCTCCAGGTCCGTCTCTCTGTTTCCTCCTCGCTCTAGGGAAGAAAGAAGTTGATCCTCTGAGGTATGGACTTGCATCCTTGGGCTGAGAACAGTCTCTCCTCTTTGGGAACATACAGCATTGCCTTGGCCACCTCATCCAGCGTGGCTTCATCTGTTTCCAGACCTCGTGCTGCGTATGCGTCCCGTGCACAGAGCTTAATGTGACGGTACTCCAGGGGCAGAAAGGGCACAAAGAAGTCAATCAGGTGACCAGACATCAGCTCACTCTGAGCAAAGCCACCTGGGATATTAAAACAAAACAGGAAATAGAAACATATTTAACGTTTTAACAATGTGTTTTGGTTCTTTTTTATCATACGCTGTATATAAAAGATGGCATTCATGCAGTTTTCTTCCAGGTATGAAAAGTAAAGCCAGTGTACTGATTCTTTGGTCAGCAGGGGGGCGATTCCTGAGGTGGTCTGTGACCTCGGTCATCACTTTCCTGCTAATTTTGTAACCAGAAACATAAACATGGTATGTTTTAACATGTGATTAACCACGTGAGTAATGAAGTTGTTAACCAGTAAGTGTACAAAATCCACCCCTCACTCATGAGTACCAGATTCAAAGATGAGGCTACACAATAGGACCTCACTAACCCATGGGTAACACTATGCTGGTCTAAGCTGTTTTTATATTACTTTAGCGGCTTTCAGCAAATAATTTCAAGCCACTGAGCAACCAGAACACCCGAGTAACTTAATGGCTTAAAAAAAAGGCTCAAAGCTTAAGAAAACCCACCAGGCAACCTTTACAAAAACTTTACTGCTCACCTTGAGACTCCATCGTCTCAGCTCGCAGCCGATGCTCCAGGTCTTCCATACCGATGTCCTCTCGATTCTGGCCAGAGTGCCAGAAGTCCAGCGCCACGTCGTTGATTGTTGCACCACCAATGTTACTGCAGTGACAACAGCAAAAACACAACATTATATGTCTACAGCTGCTGAGCTTCTCAGGGAGACTCGATTCTTTCTGGTTTGGCAGCAAAGTTTCTTTAATACAAGTTGCTCTTAGATAAATGATCACAGTTCAAAGATGGCCAGTAATTCACTCACATCTCTGAACCATAACTGTTGAGTGAAAAACGCCTTTTTCTATTTTTGACTGAACAGACTGTTAGTCAGGACAAATCTGACTTGAGGAATTGAAAACATGAAAAATCCATACAGAAGGCGACAGAAGGAGCTCCATCCTTCACCACTGATGAGCTGCCAGGCTATCTGGACAGGAAGTGCACAGAGAGCTTTACAGCTTCATCAAACTGTGCCTGAAACAGTCAGCTAACCTGAGGAAGAGGAAGATGGCCCTGCGGTAGCTGACCCCATCTACGTTGTCATAGTGATCCATGAAGGGCTTGATTGCGTCGATGAGGCCCGGATGAAGCTTTTCAGCCTCATCGAAGATGAACAGAGTCTGAGGGCAGCGCAGCACCATGTCTCGAATTGCTTCTCTCAGCTGACCCTGGATTTCAGGCAAAAAATAAACAAAAAACATAAGTCAAACATTATTATCATTTTATAACATTTCAGATCTGACAAAAGCTGATTATTATTTCCTTTCAAGCTTGATATATAAAGATACTAAACTGGGCATAAAATATTACAAACTGAGATAACTTAAACCAACAGCCGACATTTATCTAGAATGTTTTAATCTTTTTAAACGAATATATAAATGTGCCATTGTTGGTAAAAGTTCTTTAAAAGAAATAGCCCTGTTATATGCCACAGAGGTTCAGTGGGAGGCTGTACTACAACACGTAGACACGTTAAAGTCCACATTTGCACACTTTGCAGACTTGAGGGCATGAGGGTAAAGGTTATCCCGTGAACTGCATATACCTATTTATATTTGGATAGCTCTGTACTATGCACCATGTATTAATGCTATGTAATCACAATTTTGAAATCAGCTGCAGTGATTGTGAAAAAATGTGCTCAAATGAGACTGAGCTGGCACCTCTGACCCGGTTGGACAAACGCCAGGTTCCAAACATCCATTTCTCTGAGTATTTGTGTCGCAGCATCAGTGTTGACTTAAAGCATCTGTCCAAACCATGACTGCTATCACTCTTATGATGAATTACAACACAGAATAAATATCTACGTAAGCAAAGCAGCGTCCAGAGAACACAGGTACATGTTCCTGGCACAGGACGGCCATCGCTGTGCCAAGTGGGCTCACCTTGTACGTGTCCACCAGCCTGGCGTGCGGGAAGTGGAACGGAGCGATGAACAAACGGACACACTCGCTCTTCACCCCGTCCCGGTACAAGTTATCAGCAATGATCCGGGCCACAAAGTTCTTGCCTGTGCCAGACCAGCCGTGGAAGGAGAGCGTCAGGGGCTTGTTGGACTCGGGGTTGTTGATGAAACCCTGGATGGCTTTCAGAACCACAGACTGAGCCAGATGTTGCCCGTGGAGCTTCGTCTGAAGGTCTCTTGCTAGACCTGCACATGAGACCATAGATGTTTGATTTTGATTTTAAAGGCACCGGCAAATATGAATAAAGTACTCTGTGTTAAAATGTCTACTTTTAAAATATGTGATATAGCCAATAAAAGGTAAAGTTGTTAAAGGGCTGCATCAGGCACTGAAGCTAAAGCCCTTATCAGATGATGAGTAACTGTGTGCAGTGTTGGGTGAATTCACAAACAGACGATTACAAAGAATAATGAGGGGAAACGACCAACACACGCTTGGGGCAAAGCGGGCAGCCACAGAGCAGCAGTGCGATACCTGTGATGTTGTTGGTTATCCTGCAGTCTCCGGACTCGCAGCACTGACCCAGGCTACAGTACCACTGATGCAGCAGGCTCATGTAGTCCTGAGGAAACCCTGCCCAGATATCCCTGGTAGGAACTGCTCGCATCACAAGAGCAGGGCGAGAGAAGTCCGTGTTTATAACAGTGTAATAACGAATCGTAAAAATAAAAATATTGCAAAATGCGCACGAGGCAAGATGTAGCTTGCGAAATGAGCGCTTTCGTTATAAAATGGTTTTAATTTCTTTTACCATCTCTTACCTTGCTGGGTGGCATCATCCTGATTGGGCTGACACTCCCCCTCCCAGATATTGCAATAAATATAATTAAAATAGTAAGTAGAGACGTTGCTAATGCTATCGAAATGGAAGAAGTCGGCCTGTGCCGAGACAGCCCAGAGCAGCAGGAGAAAGCACCGCGCAGACATCGCGAACAGGCTGACGTGAAGCGGTCCAAACGACACTGAACACGAAGTCCTGTTTCTGCTCTCCCATTTATCTGAACGCGGTGGTCCACCGGCGGCCTGCTTTGACTGGGATACCCCTCCCCGCCCCCGACAACGTCTCCCTGCTGAAGCCAAAGAGGGGCGCTTGTTGTGCGGTTCGCCGCGGGCGGGCGGAGGGGCGGTTACTACCCCATTCCCTACTGCTCACGTCAAATTTGATTGGAGCCATTTTAATGGGAGCGAAGCCTGTACTGCAGCGCCATACGGCAAATGTCACGCTACCGAGGTACGAGGCTTGCGTGTCCACAAACAACCCACGGTCAGCAACGCCAGCTAGATATTCCCGCCCTCGGGAGGTCAGCAAGTGACCAAATCGAACTCCATTCCATTACATAACGTCACTTCCGGCGAAAAGTCGTACACTTGCTCTCAATCTTATTTACTTTTCATAGTTGTGTCATTAGACTTTACTACGCCACTGTTTGCACAACTGGTTTAGTAATATAAGATCAGTTCATTTGGCGCTCAAACACATCACCCATCGAGAAAGGGAGGAGAAAAACAGATGCACACAAATGAGTCAATAACAAATATTTTATTGTTACAAATTGACGTCAACAGGATCAGGTCACAATCCAGACGTAATAGCACGAGCAGGGTCTGAACACTGATTCCTGCAGGTGAAAATCTGTCAACATCACTTTCCAGCTTTTGAGGAAACGGCACCATTTAGATTTATTATGAAGTGACAGACTTGTGCTTGATTGTGCTTCAGTGCCTGAGGCGTCACACCTGTGTAGAGAAGAAATCATTAAAATACAAGTACAGACTACTAACAGAAGAGTTGACTAGCAGTTAATGACCACATGACCTCAGAAAAAAATGGAACGGTAAGGGTTATAATCAGCCTAAGTCATCTGGCAAAATCAGATCATCACTAGTCTTGTGGCCACCTTGAAATAATCGTGATTCAGGACTGGACAAAAACACTCACCAGGTAAAGAACTTGAACTTTTCCACATCTGAAAAAGAAGAATGAAAAACCTTATTACAATTCAGCGATTGGCTGATTCATATTTTATTCGCTGGGTTGCTCAGTGACAGACTGTCCACATGAGTGTTCAGGTCAGACATTTGTTGTAACATCACTGAACCCCTTATGACCGTCGTGCACTTTTAAGTCAGTTTTCTCACCTCAGTCACTCTGGTGTGGTCCACACTGGGTCTCCATCCCTCACACAGAGAACAACCTGAAGATATGAGAGCATCAGTCAAACATGCACATCAACTGCAAAGATGAAGGAGTCAACGCTGACCTGGTCAGCTAGAGCTAATAAACAGACTCCATGGTTTAAAGTCAGTCTGTACTTTGTCATCACACAGGCCAGACTACAAGGATCAAATGATCTTTACTGCAAGAAAGTGATCGCAGAAAATATACAAGTGGCTCCTTCAGACCCAGCTCTATAAACCTCAACAGCACGGGGCCCATTCTGGGTCTGAGGAGCTAAAAATGACACGATTTCATACTCACCATGAGTGTTTAATCATCTTCTGAATGGTGATGAGTCGCGAGCCCGCTCGTTCTGTAACAACAAATTAAGTTTCAGGTAAATTTACAGAACCATGCTCACTCCTTTTCTCCAACATTAAAAATCCAGATCAGAGTCGTTACAAATTATCCTCAACTGGATCAGCGACCTGATTCAAACTCATCACATCTGAAAGCTGTTAGCTGCTGTGCAGGGATGTCACCAGAAATGATACCTAACGCTAACATTTGATACCAAAACCAGAGATCACTTGCTTTTCTTTGGTACTGCAGGCAGTGTATGCACTAAGCTGCCATATTTCTAGATACATTCTTACATATTAGAGGAAATCCAACAGCACAGGAAACACTACCTGTGGAGAAGGACCATTTATGCAGCCGCCATAATAGCTCCGCTTAAACTCATAAGACAGAATTCTTATTTTGCTATGAATGATGTACTTTACACTTTTTAGGTGGAGTAAGCGATCAAAGAATGATGCAGTTTCATGTAGTCCAAGCACCACAAGTTAACAAAGCACTTAAACTTCAAAGACTTAAAGCTGAGCAAGTTTTAATTCAAGGCATCATCCTGATGATGTTACCATTGAGACTGCTGTTATTTCATAGGTTAAATGGTTTGCTGTGGTAATTCTAGTCATGCTTATCCTTTTGTATAACAGGTCTATAAATGTGTAATTACGACACTATGCAATTTAGTCTGTGCCTTGTTAAAAGTGTTATTTGAGATAAATTATCTGCCACCATGTCAGTGTGTGAATGGTCATTTTGTCCATCAACTGTATTGACATGTTTAGTTCTATTGGTGCAGAGCATTAGGTTTGTGGTACTGTGACATCCCCGCTGCAGTGTTTGAGATTTAATGCTTACCAGCAGAGCAGCAACGAGTCAGACAGCAAGGTGTTCACATCTGAAGAGAAAGAACTTAATTATCACTTTGTTTTAAACACGTCAGTGATTGTGGGACTACATAAGTTGATGCTCAGCTAGGAGCGAAAGACGATAGTTATTCTTCATAGTTTAATCTGTTGAACTATGCACTCATCACTGCATCGAGCTTCATTAAAAGAAACGTAGAGCAGGATTTCAACTCACCTCCACTTTGCCTTTTGTGGGACTCCTGAAAAAAAAAAAATTAAATACAAGTTTAGAAAGACCTCAAACCCAGTGACCCTCAAAGGTTGCAGAGGCCGACACATCAGCTAGGAGCGAAAGACAACAGTAATTCTTCACAGTTTAATCTGCTGAACTATGCACTCATCATTGCATCGAAACAGTTTTATTTTTACAGGCCAGCTCCTCAAAGGAAAAAAAAAAAAAGAACCTACCTGCAGCTGATCCAAGAATGCACATCTGGATCCAACATCAGGACCGTCTGCAAAGCACGAGAGACGCATCGTTGAAGAGTCCAAATTTTAACATGCATGTATGCAATATAGTTTTAACTGCATCAGAAAAAAGTCCTCTTTCACTCTTTTTCAGAGAGATTCCCATTGTTTTAAAAACAAAAGTCATCATTAACAGTTTCTTATGGTAACACATGATCAAGAATTTACATCCATTACCTGTTAGCGTTAGGACTCGGACCTGAGGACACCTGTGGGTAGAAATAAAGTGATTAAAATGATATAAACTTTTAAGCTCACAGGTTGGGAGTAAGTAGTGCCTCAGATAATACAACTTGGTGGTTGGAGTATCATCACATCTTCTCAAGAGTAGCAAATAAGTGGTCATCACAGGAGCACAAATTTATGGCAAAGACTGATGCTTCCCTGAGGTGTTAGCAGAGAGAAAACTACACGTGTGGATCAGGACTCCAGGAACAGCGTTACAAGTCAGTGTTTTGGCCCAATATTTAACATTTTCATTTAAAATAGATTTCCTGTTCATTTGTTGTACATTGTGTACAAATCACACTTTGCCAGTCAAATGAAAGCAGTAATATCCCCATTAGTTTTACATGCAAATATTAGTTTATCCATGCAAAGGCACACTGGGGTTATTGATACTTAGGTTTGAAATATTTGTGTAAATATGGCCCCGCACCCAAGCAATTAAAAAGGCACCTTCAATTTCAGCCTTAGGAATTTTATCATTATAGTTTGATTTAAGAACAGGTGTAGTCTCTCCACAGCGAACACCTTAGAGAAGCACAAGTTTCCTCTGCAAACACTCATCCTCACCTCCTCAGTCCCCTACAGACCAGTCACATCTCTGGGCTTTCACGGCACCTGTAGAAACAGTCTTGTTAGGACTATTACAATGAATGGGAAAAGCAAGAAACTCAAAGGAAAACTATATGGAAGTCTCAGTGTAGAAAATGCTCAGAAATCACTTCTGTCCACTACTCTTACACTTTAAATCATCACCGACGTCCATTTAGGGAAACAAAACAAAAAAAATAAAGGGTTTAAAGCAGAATTCCTTACCATCGAGCATCTGCTGATGTCGAGAAGTCAGGATGAGCATCGTGATCCTTCATCTTTGAAGAGCCGTCTGTATTTTTGAGTGTTTTAAGTTGTTAATCTGTCAGATTTAACCCAAACACGACAGGAAGGTTAACATATTTTAAATTAAAATCCTCATAACTTCACACAAAGTTATACACACCCACTAAATACGCTGCATGGCCAGCAGCAGGAGCCATGCAGCTAAGATAACCGGCCCAGTTTCTCACAGCCTTTGCCCCGTCTTGTCAGGAATGTTGCCTTTACTTCACATCGACTCAGATGTCCCTAGCAACATTATGTCATCATATGTAAGCGGGACTAAACTGCACTGAGGCTGCTTTTAAAACAGGATCTAACGATCCGCAGGCCAACACGCGATCTGTTGCACGTGGATGAGGCCTGCTAGGCTAACGCTTATTAGCTCTAAAGAGCTTCCACTTAAAAATGCCACCGAGTACAACGTTACCTACATGACAGGTTAACAGTTATTACTGGGGGCGTACAATAAAGTCAAAAACCACGAGACAAACACTAACGCTGGAAAACCTCCAACCAACTCACCAGTAAGTCGTCCGAGGAATGAGGCAGAGAAGCGGGCGCGAGGCGCTTTTATAGAAGCTACCGCACAGCCTGATGGGAAAAACATGTCTGGCTGAGCAGCGCCCCTGCTGGACGAGTCGGTCTGTGAACACGCAACGTGTGCGACATGTTTTTGTGTTTTAACTGAATACTTGTGCCCTGAAAAAACTCTGCTTTGATTCATTTGTAATTGTTCAGCTGCTCCCTTTAGGACTTCTCTCCTCTTCTGTCACACCAACCACCTGCATCTGCATTTCCACCTTCACAGGGAATGGATGGAGCTAGCTCCACATTCAACATCTGTCGTGTATCCACGGTTCCTCCGCACAGGTCCAAACCAGCTCAGGTTCAACTGTTCAACCTCAACACTATCTTTAACTCCACTACCTTCCACTCCACCTCCTGTGCTGCCGTCTCCATCATCACAGGTCTCACTAGTAGCTTGTAAACCTTCCCTTTCTGTCACAAATCACCCCTGATACTCGCCTCCACCCACTCCACCCTGAATGCACTCTCTTCTTCACCTCTGTTGTTTGTTGCTTTGGATGGTTGACCCCAGGTATTTAAACTCATCCATGCCTCTACTTCTGCAGGCTCACCTCTACCTGCTACCTACCCCCTGGTGTTTTTGACATAATCACCTCTGTATTATTTGTCTTACTGTTTCATCTTCTCACACTACAGGCTGTTGGTGCCACATGTTTAGTCTCTTTTTAGCAACCACATGTAAATGATCTTGTGTACCATCATAGATGGCAGAGTTTTTCAGTGGTTCAGGATCAGCCAGACACACTCTCTGGGCTTGCAAGCCCACCGTTTACCAGGATACTTATTGAAGAGAAACAGGACTTTTCTTTTCTTCATACTGCATCACCCTCTTCATACAGAACCACAGTTCCTCTCTATCACATGCTTCCTCTTTGAGGCACAAACAAGTACACAGGTACTAAAACTGTGTTACACAGTGTAATCAAAAAGCCTTTTAAAAAAAAAATATTATTAAAAGGCTGAGATAGAAAAGCAAGGGTGACCCGTATATGTAAAAACTGAGGTGAAATTTTAGATCCCAATGTTAATTTTCACTATTATGGATTGAAAAAAGTATTTTTCCATAATGTAGGAGTCAAAGTACCCAGACTGATCCAAAAAATCCTCACATTAGTCTGTTTGCTTCTTAAATTGATGTAACTTTCTTGAACCTCCTCCTGCTGGAGCCTGCAGGCACACTGTGTCCTGCATTATTATTTAATCTGCAGGTCCCACCTCGCAGACGCGCCTCGTGTCAGGTTCTATTTTTAAAGTCCCTCGACACCTACACAAGTGTTTTTGAATTCCCTGCCGATAAAGAGCGCAGTGAGGTGGAAGAAGGGCCGCGCTCTTCTGAGAATAAAAAGATGTCAACAAACTGAGTGCGCAAATATAGACTGGAGCGGTGTGTAGCATTTCCACCACGCTAAGTGCACCAAAGGGGTAATTAAAAAAAAAAAAGTCAATCAAACTGCTAAAATCAACAGAGCTCAGATATTTTTGATAGCTGGGTGTTTAATAAATAGTTATACATTTGATCCTGGAGGTGACAGGATACGTACACTAGGCTCAAAAGCAGTCCCCTGATAACCTACGAGGCTGAATAAACAGACTTCGTGTCGCTTCAAGTAAACCAAACATCTCTGGGGTTTAGAGTCCGACTGAAAAAGAGAAAACACACAGTGAGCAGGTGTTTAGCTGGAAATGCCTTGTTAATGCCACACGTCAACTGTGTGATACCATCATGTCCATATGGTCCAAAGTCCCTCGAGGAATGCTTCCCACACCTCGGTGAATCTACCCACAAAACAGGAAAAGGCGGTCCAACACGGCACCAGCGTGATTTAAGGGGAAGCATGACAAAAAGCTCACAGGAGTAAACTCATGGAGATTTAATATTTTGCATCAATAAACAGGAGAATTGGATACAATCAATGGTTATGATGAGAAGGAAATAAAAAATACATTTGTTTTGATTGCTCTCTATCAGGCAACACTGAGCAGAACTGAAATGAATGGCGAGGCCTCCACAAACACAAAACATGGGAAAAAAATACAAAGAAATTTCTTAGAATCCTTCATGTTGATTATTTTCAAAAGGCATTTTTGTCTGATTCAATTCAACAAGCGTTTCGCTGGTTTTGCATACAGCACCAACTATATGCTCGTCTCTGCAGATCCCTTCACCAGATACATGAATATATGGCTTAAAGGGTCTCACTGAACACAATGGCCAAATATTTAGGAGATACAATAATCAAATCACCAAGATTAAAAAAAAAAGGGGGTCAACAGGGGGGCTGTTGTGAGCTTGCTACTGCATTTTCAGGCAAAGATAAATATATTTTTATTTCTTCATCTCATCCAATTACCATTGCATTCAGATCCAACCGATGCAGCTGCAAATAAGAGAAAGAACAATGGTTCAACAAAGCTGGGGGTGTACAGCAGGATAAATATGTGGTTCTGAAACTTGGAAAACAGAAGATTCAACCAGCAGAACAACGTCTGGACTGTAGCAGCACTATGAAAGTGCACCAGTGTTTTTAAAGGCCGTCTCACGTTTTCGCTCTTCGCACTCCGACAACGTGCAAGCGAATAACGAGGCGCCCCACTCTGATCTGAAGGGAAAACGAGGATGTGCGATGTGCAGAACAAAACCAGACTTTACAGACTCAGTTCGAGCTTTACGTCCTCTTCATGGACCTGCTGTCCAGAAAGACAAAAGTATGTAAACAATCAATTGTTCATAAATGCCTTCAAAACCTTCTCAGAAGACTGTTTTGGTCTCTGTCCAGACAAAAGTCCCTTCAGCCTTTTCTCTAAACCTTTTTTTTGGCATAATGGACAGAATTTGTCCTCCCACAGGCAAACTTTGTTTTTTCTATCAGTATTGCATATTTGAAATCAGCCACAACTCCCGAAATCAGCGTTTAGATGCTATGGCTTTCTGCAGGGCTTTGTTTCTGGATAATACTCGAGACACAGAACAGCGAGAGTGATCCAAATGGGTGGCAAAGGTAACTCTGAAATGGGAACGAAACATTAAAAGGCTAAATGGAATGACTCCTAAGGATGTAAAGGTTCAGGTTCAGATCCTCAAATATGTTTTTACACTATTGCCGCAAAGAAAAATAAAGAATAAGAGCATTAGAAATAAAAAAGAATATATATTTATATATATCCATCATATGTATATCTATATATAAACAGTTCTAACTAGTTGCAGGCAAGCAGAGATTTTCCTCTCCCGCCCCTTTAAGATTCATCCGTTCCACCGTTATAAGGCTGTCAGACTCTGGGTGGGGGCACCAGCTTTCTTTCCTCAGTCACCAGATTCCCTGAGATGTAGAGCGCCGTTTTATTTCTCGTGCTATTACTTGAGCCAAACACCATCGACCACAGACCCCCACCCCCCCTGCAAAAAACTATAGATGTAGGGAAGGAGTGTTGCTCTGGCTCATCCTGTGGAGCTGCTGAAGGGTGTGGACGAGCGGGAGGCACGTGACCTCTCCACTCTGTGCTGCAGAGTCTCATGTTGGCAGGTGGCGGGTATCGGTGGATGAGAGACTGACCAAATAAGGAGAGGAGCTTTACTAATATTCATGTTACATCTTTGATGCTTTTCATTCATTTCCATATTGTTTTACAGTCAAATGCAAAGCAGTGTAGAGATTCAATCATCAGTCATTCCAAGGCTTGAATAACAAGTGGTTTCTGCAAAAGAGTTCTTATGAAGACTCTGTTGTGTGTGCATTCTTGATGCATCCGAGTGCGGCGCGCTCTTCTCAGGGCCTCTGGGAGGCTAATCTCTTTAATAGCGGCTCGTCGTAGACCCAGCACTCGCCGTCCTCGTGGAATAGCTACAGAAACACAGAGCAATGAGAATTATTATACTCGATATCTGAAGTATTTCTGAAAGTAAAATTACAATGTTGTCACTGATCTCTCTGAGATGTGTGGAATTTAAAGTTTGCGGTACGGAGAAGGCTTCGCTTCCATTGCCACGACAGTTATGGCTGCGATATGTCAAATACACCGTGTGTTTACTTTCCTTAGTGTCCATGACGACACAAGCTCAGAGAGAGACGCGTGTTAGCCTCTGATGGCTATTTGGTTCTGGGAAAGTGCAGGACTCATGCACGGTGCTCATGCACGGTGCTCATGCACGGTGCTCATGCACGGTGCTCATGCACGGTGCTCATGCACGGTGCTCATGCACAGGATTTTGCAAATGATGCAAGAAAACTGTTTCCACTAAACTAGTAACAACCTCGTTTCACCACTGCAGACAAAAAGCAGACTGCTGAATATAACCAGGCTACAAAACAGGGGACACCAGCAGATAGTGACGCCTGACCCAAACACATCCGCTAACTAGCTGCACTCCACAAGTCAGGAGGATCAAATGGTGAATAGAAATTCCTGATGCCTGGTCAAAAACTTGACCTAATATCCGGTTGTTGTTACTTTTCCTTAAAAGTTCCACGGAAAACATTACCCGGGTGTGCTTTGTGCAATGAACTGGTTCTTCTATAATGCTTTTCTACTCTACATACAACATGCCTCATTCACCCAGTCACACCCGTCATACAAGCACTTGATTCCATGCTTAACACTCGCACTCCAATGGCTGCATCAGAGAGAAACCTGGGGTTAGCATCTTGCCCGAGGATGTTTGGCATGAAATCAAACCACCAACCTTCCGATAAGTAGATGGCCTGCTCCACCTCCTGAGCTACAGCCACCCCCACCTCACTGGATATATTGCTGTGTCACTACTGCTGCACTATAACGCTTTGTGGCGATAGATTCCACGTTAAGTGGGTGGTGTGTCATGGGTGACAGCAGCTCATTGGAAAAGGAGGATAGAAAGCGTCCTTCGTGTTGTTTGCACTAATAAATGCTGCTGCTGCCTGAAAGCTGCGCTCACCGATAAAATGTTGCTCAGCATTTTCCTTTTATTGTCATAAATATGATTGTTGTACATTTCCTTGAAATGAAGCTACTTTCAGCTGCTCCCTGGTCACTGCAGCGGGTAGCTGCACGTTTTAGTCTGGTTGCTCTTTCTGATGCAACCTACAAGTGATTTGTGTCTCAAGCTGGAATCAAACCAGCAACCTTTCACATCCATTTGTGTAAAACACTACACTTTGGAGCCACACTGCAAATATCCTGACAGAATTTTAAAGCTATATTGCCCATAATACTCAGATCCCATGGTACGCTAAGGAAATCCTCACCCTGGTCTCCCACTGCTGCTCCTTCTCCTTCCTCTCTCTGGCTTCAGCTCTCTGTTTCTCCTCCAACCGGTGCTTGGCTTCTGTCGCTGCATCGATGTCTTTTATCTTCAGGTTCAGAGTCACATCCTTCCACAGTCTAAAAGGAATAAAAGTTTGAAAGTCAAACATTTAGAGTTAAAGGATCCCGTGAGACGGCTGAGGTCCGACACTGATCCTCTCCTCACCTTCGAGACTCGTACTCGAGCTGGTCTTCCAGCTTCCTCACTCTCTTCTTAACGATGCCCATCTTCTTAGTGTCTATGAACACCGTGTTCTCCTAGAAACATATGAAAACACGTTCACACATGTATTAATTCATTTAAGGTGGTGATTTCCTACATTTTGTAACGTAAATAAAACAAAGGACTCACTCCAGTCGCCCATTTAGCATACATGACTCCGTTCCACTCTCCCTCAATGGAGCAGAAAGACTTCTTGTCGTTTGGTGAACTGCAGGGATGAAACCAAACCCAGATGTCATCTTGTGTATTAAAGACTCTCAGCAATCCTTAAATAATGTGATATAACCACATGGCTCTTACAAGATCTCTGCAGTGATTCTGTGCTTCTTTCCACCATAGAAGGGTTTGGTGTGGAACACGATGTTAGCGCTGTAGCCCGACTTGGAGCAGGAGATGTTGCACTCTCCACCAAGCTCCACCCACGGCACAGTGAGGATCGACCTGGACAGACAGGCGTAGGTCAGCGAAACAAAGTAACGACCGACTGAGCGATGGCACAGGCGAGCACAGGGACGCGTTAACGGCACCTACCTGCCATATCCGTTAGGAAAGGTGAGAATGTAATGCTCATCGTGCTCCAAACATGACACGCAGCCTGGAGAGAGGCCAGAGGTCACTTAACACACAGATTCACTGAATCATACTCATCAGAGAATATAAGGCAGAGCTTAGTGTACCTTGGCCGATGTTGTGGACGCCTATGGACATGCCCAGAAACTTAGATTTAGTCCAGATGTGAGCGTTGAACTGGATCTTCCTACTTAAGCACTCGGCGTAGAACGCAGAAACTACAGGCGAAAAATGCAGGAAATAATTAGTGGTGCAAAAACAGCAACACATCAGCGATCGTGCAGAAAATAAAACCCAAACATTTTTACTTTTCTAAAGCCTAAGCCACACCCTTCTGGATCTACATGTAATGAGCAATTCTGCGTTTACACTTACTGGGCGGGTGGTGAGAGACCTGCTCTGCCACAAAAGACACGCTGTTGGATGAAGCGCAGGGAACCGGGCCTTCTGATACCGTCTCCTGAAACGTGCGAGAACGAAGCACATTGAGAGCAGGATTGTGATTCTTGGTTAGAACTGCAGATCGATGATTCAGGAACTTGTAAAAGTAATAATTGAAATTATTACTGGATCAAAAATCTACTTGACCGCAGTGACAAACGGCCTCACCGTAGGTGGCGAAGGCTCCTCTGTCTCGCTGGGAAGATCCCAGTGGCAGTAGAAGACTTCTCCTAGGATTGGGTTGTACGGTTTCTTGGCCACTGAGCCTTTCCTTCCGGCATGGAAAGCCGACAGGTACCACCTCACCACCTGCACCATCCGCTCCCTGGGCTCTGGCTGCTCAGCGATACTAACGAGTAAAAGAAACAAGTACTGAATGACGGCCTACCCTCATGCCAGAGTGTGCATGATGATAAACAGCTGAAATGGTACGTACCTTACAAATAAGTCGGGGTGTGCAAAGAAATCTGCATACATTTCTAACAAAGACCTTCTTTCTAGGATGAAGGTAGGCAGGACCACCTGGGAAATACAGTGAAGTGTTGTTAAAAAAGAAAACCTTACGCCGACAGCGCTGGAGAGCGAAACGCCGCGACGGAACAATTAGGGCGGCTAAGACGCTAAGAGGTCCTGACCTTTGTGAGGTCCATGCCCAGTCGAACTTGAGACAGCAAATGCATGATGACGCTCTTGTGCTCTTCCACAGACTCCCCTTCACCGTCGTCGTCGCGGTCATCGTGACAGTCAAACTGGTCTGAGGACAAGAGCAGAGCCACATATTTCACCATCATGTAGTAAAATATGATTTAAATAACGCCTCATGCTTAGAGTTTACTCAGTGAGGGACAATCAGCTGCGATGTGATCATGTGTCTCGTGAGCATTTCCCTTTTTACCCGTGTCTGTGGTGCCATTGGACATCGAAGAGTTGAGGGACTCTGTAGTGTTGGGTCGTTTCAGAGCCGTTTCTTCGTTAGTAAGGGGCGAGGCAGCTGGAGGCCCTGAGGGACTGGGTGCAGGAGGAGGAGCAAGGAAGCAGGAAGCAATAGAGATAAAGGGGATAAAGAATAAATATAAAACAAGAGGCAAACTTCTCAGTTTGCAAATGCTCATGCTGTTGGATTTTTATTCAATCCAAGCAGAATTTCTCTTGCTGCCGTACTCACTCTATGCAGTGTTTGGGGGAAGTGTTGCTCTGGTAAAACTCATCGGCGTCATAGAATTCGTCCTCACTGGAGGAGTAGGAGAAGTCTGGCACCGAGTGTGAGGGGAGGGGGATGTGAGCCGGGGAGGCGACGCCGCTGCTGGGGCCTGACGGGCCACTCCCTAAAAAAAAAAACCACACACATAAAAAAATGTAATCGAACAGTGCGCCTCACGCCATCAGCCCACTCATACATACATCTGTCATCCGCCTGTCTGTTTGGTAGGAGGAGCCAAAAGGCCTCTGTTGATGCAGAAGCTCGCCGGCGCCTGCCCTACACGATGCCATGGTGATGAAATCAACATTATATTGTTCGACTGGAGCCCCCGTTTCCCAGCTCTGCTGTTCAGCAGGATGTGCTCGGCACCATTAAGCCGCCTTAACACAGTGATGACTTTCTCTGCAGAGCGTATTGACAGTCCTCTCAAGCATGCAGCCTGTCTCCTTATTGCACAGCGCAGCATTTTAATACTGCAGCCTCAGCAGAGATGGCAAACAGGCTGCAACCTCTGCTTTCTGCTCATTTTAACTTGCGTTCAGTGGCACGCTTTCACGCATTTAACAAAACACACGACCCTCAAAATGCGACCTGTAACCTGTAAAACTGCAGTAAAACAAATTAGCACTGCCACGATTACGTCGATGACAAATTTAATAGACGGGTCGACTGTAAGATCCTAAAGATGCAGGAGTAAGTAGCAGGATTTAAGAGTCTTCTCTTTACCGGCTTCAGTTAATTCAAAATGCAGCTGCGCGTCTTTTAACAGGTACGAGACTCTATGAACGATTCACTCCAATTTTAGCCAAACTACATTGGCTCCCTGTTAAATATCGCATAGATTTTAAAAGTCTTTTGTTCACTTTTAAAATTCTGAATAATTTAGCGTCCAGCTATCTTTCTGAGCACTTACATCGTCCAATCACAGGCTCCTAGCACAACCTGGGTCTCGAATGAAGTCGAGAGGTGACCGGGCCTTTGCATCCGTGGCACCTCTGGAATAACCTCCCTGTTCATGTTCGTACTGCCGAGTCGATCCAGTCTTTTAAATCACGTCTTAAAACTCATCTTTTTACTTTGGCCTTTGATTCTAACCAGTTGGCTGTTCTAGCTTGTTGTGTTGTTGCCTATTGTTCGTTGTCCTGTTTTATTGTTTGTTTTAATTGTCTTATGATTCTAGAACATAAACGACTGGTATCTGAGGAATCGATATTTCAGTATCGATCCGCACATCACTAGTGTCCAGATTCAGGGGCCGCATCCTTTGGACGCCGCATTAGGAGGCCGATCACGTTACAGTGACGTGACGAAGGCTTCGCAAATTCGAAGACTCCTCCAAATAAGGCCGATAAATGTCCTCCTTTTCCCCAGACTTGAAGGATGGGTCGGGCGTGTCCTTTGTGGCCCAACCTATCCCAGAATTCATAGCTCAGCCAATTCCAGTTTCCAACAATGGCGGCAGCTCCTAAGTTTTAATATCACTCTTATTCCTCTTTCTGCGTCACAAAATAAACTTTTAACATATTTTCAGGTAAGAATGTAGCTGTGTAAACTTCTAATATCTGCTCGGTTTATCAAGACATCACATATTTGTAAAAGTGCTCCGTCGTCTGTTACCCACCAGCTCGATAGCTAACCCGGGTTCAAGGCTCACTAGAGCCGGTGAAAAACACCAGACTCCCGGCACATAATTTTTAGATCCCCGCGGTCTTTTGCTACTCCGGTTAAACATGATATATGAGTCACTTAGATAACTTAAAATGTTATTGTTTGGCTTTTTTCAGTGTTTTATTTGTTCCTGAGTAAATCGGTTTGGCTGAGATTAAAGTTATAGTTTTTACACAGCTGAATAAACGTCAAGCAGACAGCTGATTATCAGAAGTGTGAGATGCTCCAGAATATACTCCGGTGTCCTGTTATATTTTAGATAGCAAGGAGATTATTAAACTTCACCGAAACAATCTGCAAATTTCATTAAAAATTTAATAAACATCTTGTCTTTATTTTTAGTTAGCACAGACCTTAAACACTTCAAGCTGTAAGCTAATGATAGTTATATAAGAGCAGATGCAACAAGCTGTACGTTTTACGTCCAATGGATGATGATCTGATTAGTCGATTATCAACAAAATCGTTTGTGGCAGCTCTGCTACAAATAGACAAAGACGGCACTAAATGTCATTTAAAGTAATTGTTTGAAGGTCAAGAATGAAATGGAAAAAAAAAAAGATCCTTTTTTGGCCACTGGGGGGCAGTGGCATCAAATTATGTAAACACATTTCACCCACATCACCTTAAATCTACTATTACATGTCCATGCTACTGTACTGTTTGCTATGTGATTGTAGTCCATTGTTTGGTGGCTCCTAAACAACATCATAACAAGCGATTTAAATAAAACCCATCAGGGTGCCAAGTTTGGCTGCTTAACTCCTGATAGTGTACGAAGAGTCCGAGTATGAAAGCTTGAACTTTTCATCAAACAGCTCATCAACATCATACCTGGTTTCCCTGTGGTTACCATGTCCTCAGGGAAACACATTCCTCTGTCCACTGTTTACCATTAAAAAAGGTTGTGTGCAGTTTACAGATCACACAGCTACAACAACAACAAAATAACTAAACAGACTAACCTGCTGATTGGGCTGCTCGGCAGTATGAGGAACCCGTTTCAATAACATATAGCCATTTCAGCATTTCACAAAAATTAGTCTAGTTCATGACATTGATTTGAATTCACCTGTGCTGTTGGGAGTCGGGGTCTGCAGACTGCCCATCACTGTGACGACGGGACCAACAGGTAACGTGGAGGGTCGTTGGTCTGATTTGCACACCTGAGACGCGTCTTCATCAAACGGAGAGAAAGCAGAGTTAGCGCCGAAGCCTCGAAACAAAGCCAGACCCCATTAAAAGCAGCATCTCATGCCACGTGGCAGGACGCTGCAGACAGAAGCTTCATCTGTGAGCGGGGATTACACCGTCTATTATAAGAGACCAAAATTAGAACGGCCTACTTCGCACTGCTGATTTTATAGCCCTTTTTTTTTAGTCTAGTCATAGTCATCTGACTGAAATAGCCAAAGATTTAGTCAGAGTTCAGTCAAGACATGTGAGGATTCTTGTTGAGTGGATAAACCATATTAGCCCACAAAACAGGAATCTGCTTCAACACAGATCCTTAATTTAAAAGGAGAAGAAGAAGAGGGAATAATGCTGCTAAACCCTGTGTGAAGGTGTACCTTCAAATACTGAGAGACTATTAAGAATATTTATCAATACTGGTGATGGTACTGTCACACTAGAACATGTTTCCAGTTGCAGCTGAAACATAATTTCAAATGTCATCCAAGGACAGAACATCGACAGATTTGACACATTTCTCTAACGGTTCTGTGATTCCAATCCCAACCACAGGGGGAGCTGCTGTCACCTTTACATATATAACACCAACAACCTCTCAGCATGTCTCAACACAGTAAGTGACAGCTGTTACTTTTAAATGTCTGGCACATGTTGGGGAGGCAGATGTACCTGGGGGTAGTGTTGTCTGTGTTGGCATTGTGTTCACCGCTGGAGTGTCCAGAGGGGGCTGGTAGATCCCATCCACTGGGTTGATGGTGCTCTGGAGGAAAAAAAAACAAACACAACGATGCCCTTTACAACAAAAAACGACATCAGAGCTTTGCTGCAACAATCACACAGACACACACAGACACACACACACACACACAGACCCACTGCCTGCTTACTGGTTTAGAAAAAACTAAATCGAAAGCAGTTTGGCTTTTAGTTCAGAAACAGTCCTACTCTGCAAGGATCCACCTGCTCCTTTATCCTCTCAAACCCAGAAGGGGAACAATATGACCTGATCACAACTCGGTGCACCTATGTGAAGAGCGAACTAAACAATGCACCATCCAGCCGGCGCAGATCAATTTCCTCGCACTCGATTTCCTGGAAAGAGCGGCGTTGCCAAGCTTAATTAATGCAATCAATATGAAACCAACAACACAGGTTGACATGCAAACGCTAGGAGTAGCTCTACACAACTGCTAACGTTGACTCTTGACATCTGAGCAGCCTGTTTCTTCTTTAAAAAGGCCTGGGGGGGTCGGGGGGGGTTAATAAACACTACAGTAGGTAATCATTTGTAGAGGCCTGCCTTGATTCGTGGCAAACGCTGCATGCATACAAACAGCAGCCTGTCGACACGGTGTGGTCGCAGCCCCAACGACCCATCTGACAGGAACACCAGCAACCACACGAGATACACCAAAAATATCTCGCCCCTCGTTCCCCAACAGCTCACCGCCAGGAAACAACATTTAGTGACATTATAACGCAAACCTGACCTGCAGTTTCGGACTTTTACACCTTTTCTCTATTTTGAGATAATCTGAGCTCAACAGGAACGCAGCGACTGCGTGTTACGCTGTGAGATTAGGCCGAGGTGTGACGTGAGGTTTTTACTGAACTGAGTTATAGGAATTACACTGACCTTGTTTTTCTCCGTTTATAGGTCAAGATAACTGACAATAAACCTTTATCTAAACGCTAAACAAGAAAGATACAGTCAGAGGTCAAGGATTTGCCCTCCTATCTCCAAACTTCCTGCGTCTGTTCCGTTTTCTCCTTCTAATGGTTCCAGCGTCCACATGCCTTCATAAAAGTAACTCGACGGCTTCTAATTAGATCCAATTATGTATACGGACCAGCCTATGGCTATGCAAGCATGACATGAGAGGAAAAAAGCATGTGAAGAGCAAGGTCATCAAAAAAAGCTAAAAAGGGCTTTAAACTCTAATGATCAATAACCTCTACCCCCCCAAGTGAATGCAATATTAATGCAATGAGCAGCTCTCGCAGCAGTGCAACCCCTCAGCTACCCACAGCACATAAATTATTTTGACATAACTACTGAACATGCTTCTCGTGAGCTTGGTTTAAATGATTCTTGCACTTTGCAGCAATTCCCCAGGCAGTGCAGTTTGACAGGGTCAAACGTGCTGCTGACGCCTGGAGCATCTTAAACAAAGGCCTACGGTGCATGCATCACTGCTGTGCAGGCAGTGACAGACATTCAGCAGAGGTACGGTTAGTGGAAAGCCTATGGCATACAAAGGTGGCACGTGCAGGTATGTGCATAGGCAGAGCTTTCGCTGTGCTATTTATACTACATAATACTATACTTAATGATAAGAGATTAAGCCAGCTGTAGGATCAATGCAGTCCTGTGAGCTAGCCGGCGGAGGTCTTGCTTAAAGTGGGAGGTTGTGTTGTATTAAACGATCTACAAACACTTCTCGATCCTTTGCTTTTTCCAAAGATGGATTGGCTTGTTTTCATTTAGCTGCAGGTTTCTGTTTATCCCTGAGTCAATGTTTTCTTTTAGGCCTCACTTTTCTGCCTCTTCCACCTTCTGCTGTCCCATCTCCTCTGGGTGCAAGTGTGATACTGCAGTTTCCCAAATATGTGCACCGTTTCATGATGCAGTCAGACTGACTGATAAAAAACCCACAGAAATAAGAACAACATGAACATGTGTCTGTAGGTTGTCAGTCATCCAGGTCATAGTCGTCTAAAGAAAGCGATTTGGACTCGGAGAGTTCCACGATTCCCTCTCTGGCACCTCAACCCACACTCACATCTGAAAATCTGAAGGTCACATGACAGGATGAGGTCTCAGAGTGGTTTAACTCCAAACTTCTGGTGGTAATGGCTTTTTGCACAGTTGTCTCAGACACACAGTGGATCAAAACTCTCTTAACTGTTGACATGTGTTTAAAGGGCAATGTGACCCTTCTGTTGCTCTTAATGTAGTGATATCCACCTTCAGTTTATTCATTTTATTTATTTTGCAGGTCAATAATTAGTAGTCATTAGTATACATGAGACACATAATCTGGTATTAGGTCATAACAACTGGTTTATCGCCTTTTTAGGTCTGGTAATTTTTAGAGCCGTTTTATTTTGAAAAACGGAACAAGAACTCTTACTGCTGAAAGCTTTAGTGGTTCAAAACGTGCGTGAATCCTGTGGTGGCCTTCAACACGAATATCTGCAGAAGCCCAGGAGTGCTTTCTGCACGGCTTTCCAGCTATTAGTGCTCAGTGGTTCAATAAGCAGGCAGTGTGACAATGACCGATCAATGGTGACTTCGATTCCTCTAATTAGTAAGTGAAGTGATGGGCAACACTTGTATACGCAGGCATGCGATCATACGTGTCCCATGTGCACTTACACTAGTGCATCTCAGAACACAGTATTGTGTAAAGGTTTATTTTCATAATTTAAAGAGAAACTTTCATATATTCTGTAAAGTGAGATATTTGCGGCCTTTATCAGCTACAAACAGCCAGTATGTCAAATTATTAGAAGGCTTCCTCAGATCAAACAAAAAGGACCTCCATGTGCCGACTTCTACACTACACTGAACATCATCTGTATTTTTGGGTCAGGGGTTCCTCCTATTCCTCTTGAACAATGGCAGACGCACTCTTGTCCACAGTGTGGATAAAACACAGTAGATCAACCATCACCAGCAGACGGCACGGCACCCTAAAATCACCCTAAAAATGTGACCGCAGCAAAGAAACAAAAAGGGAAAAGGAAAATAAACTGACTTTGCTCATTAATAAAACTCACTGTCTGGGCAATGAGCTGAATTTACACTTTACAATACGAACCCACACAGTTGTGCTAATCAATTTCTTTCAGCAGCATTTCTCCATCGTGTGGAAAAATGACCCACTGTTACCACTGCACTTCTTTTCCTTAGATTGCGATATCTCTGGGATTAACTGTGCAGCGGCAGAAAGGGGAATTTTCCTGGTCCACTTAAGGTTAAAGCAGCTGTATGCGGTCCATCAGATATATGGCTTGAGTTTAGAGACGCTCTTACCTAAAGAGTGGACGCTTTTCCTGACAATCCACTCACGGCTCAGGTAATTGCTACTGCTTGTGCAACTGTTCCTACCACACTTTCCATTAACATGCTTCAAAACAGCTTTGCTGTGGCATAAACTCGATCTTCATCTGGACAGCTGTCGAGTCAGCGTTCTTCCCAACGACTGTGGTTACTAAACTAAGAGTGAAGAGTAATTTACTCACACTGAAAATGAAATACTTCAATAATTTGAGGAACTGAATAAGTTATAGGCCATTGTCAACAAAATAATAACATTTACATGAATGTTTACCTTTTTGAATAAAAGGATAAACTTTTCACAATACTTGACATTTTTGAGATGTACTAATATACACTCAATGTGCATTTTGTGTAGCACCATTTGCACATATACATTTCATGTCTTCATGAAGGAAAAAATAGTTACAAAATAAATAAATTTCAGATTTTAGAGGAAGATATTGATTTAATTAAGAAGAAGGCAGCAGGAGACATGAAGGAAAGCTTAGACCCAAATTAGACTGCATGCACTAAACAGATCTGTACATCTGCTGGTCTAACAGGAGAGAGTCTATTAAGCGAGAAAAGAAAGTTAGCAGTTTGTTTGATTTCGACTTTTGTCATGGACAGAAAGGGTCAAACTTACTATAGGTCCGTTTGCGTGTTGCTGTTCGTTACTTTGGTCCTTAAAATTTTAAGAAGACAGTGTTAGACTCATTGTATGTGAAGGTTCAAGAGTCATTTCATAAAAGCATCGCGAGCATCTGCCGCGGTGCGGTGCAAACGAGGCCCGGGCCTCTCGCGTTAAGCTCCAAAACTTTCCCCAAGTTGCCACATACAGCGATCCTTTCATCACACGGTCAAATCCAGACTTGCCACTTCTTTCAGTAGTGAAAACGACAGGATTGCACTACCGTGTGAGATAATCCACGTGTGTGTTTTTTGTTTTCCTTATCAAACAGCTAACAAAGCAGAAACGATTGCTCCACTTCCTTTCAGAAGGCTGAACAGAACATGTGATGAAACGAACACTGGGCAACACCCTCACCAACCACCGACCCAGAGAGCAACTGTAAGCAGGGAACTACCCCAGGGATGCGAGGTAACACAGTGCACACTCATGTGGTTTCACAAGAACAATGGTTATGAAGAAATGGCAAACTGCAGAGAGCGGACTCGTGCTGTGCTTACCTTGGCAATCTGCAGCAGTACAATACAGTGCTTGATGGACTCTACCATACTCTGAAAGGGAAAAATCACAGAGCAATTAATTAGGAAGGAAGTGACTTCTAAACCCAACAGGAAGGAAAATGTGTTCATTCTCTGACTTACACAAGTAGTCTCCTTCAAATGTTCAATTTTCTGTCGAAAGAACAGAAAGAAGTAAAAATGAGGTTAAAGAGCAGAAATACTGATGCGAGTAATGACGCCTGACTGGCTTCAGCCGGGCTTGAAACTCCAGCTGTGAAAGGTTTGATGCAGTCGGCACAAGCAACAAGGTAAAGTGACCAAAAGCTGGTGTTAAACTCAAAGAGGAAGTGGACATATAACCCCAGAGGCTAGTGAGACGCCCTGAAGGTTAAACGTTTACACCTCTAATCTTCGAACATTAGAAGATCTGCTCGGAGAACTGACCAGGCCTGAGAGGCGCTACAGAGAAAGGAAGATTGTAGTTTGAACAATAGTCCCTTTTTTTTTACATCATGTACTTCTTAAATTGTCCATTAGTCAGTTAAGTGACTGAGAAAATGAACCACAAACTAAAAAACTGAACTACTGAATCGATCAGCCTCGCAGTCGCCAGCAGCTCGGTCCAAGCTGAGGGCAACCTATGATGTGGTCTGTTTTGGTTAAGCTTAAAGCAACACTGGAGAACAGACGGGTCCTTTGTCAGGACTACTGATCTTCTTCATGCATCTTTCCCCCATTAAGACGACGTCTGATGACGTCCCCTGTACCATTAAGGAGTTCTGGGATTTTCCAACAGATAGGCAAAGACTTCTAACGCACATCCAGTCATTTTGGACTCTAAGCAGGCCGGAAATAAAGCTGAAACCACTCAGTTAAGGAAAACGCTTCAAGGGTTACTCCTTGAAGGATTAATTTTTATTCTTCATGGCTGATAAATAAATATCGAGGGGACTGAACTTTAGCTTTTGAAATAAGAGGATCACTTCTGAAATCACTGCTGCTTTAGGCCAGTTTGGAGCAGAAATATCTGCGATACACCGACAGCTATCAGTTTCCATTCGCCCCCTGCTCCTTTGTTAGCAGCGGCTCTAATGATGCTGGACCGGAGAGGCGAGACGCGAGGACAGAGCTGCGCTGCTGATACTCACTCTGCGTGATTCATCCTCTTTGCAGTCCTTGATCTTCTCATCAAACAGCTGTGTGGACAAGAGATGAAAGAAAGGTTAAAAAACAGAAACATGGAATAAGAGCTATTCCACTGTCAGATGACTGTACAGACGACACAGTGGAAAACTACTGAGAGCTTATAAGGAAGGACATGTTACGTGGTTTCCTTAAGATGCTGGAGACAGTGTCTACTTTCTTTAAATACAGTTATCTGGTTTGTCACCACAAATATTACTCACAAGAACTTCTGCTTTACCGAAAAGTAGACAAGGAAACGCTCGCTGACACAGATTCAATCTATAAATATAGGATGAGAAGCCACTGAAATCTACAACATCTATATCTACCTCACGGTGTGGATTTCCTACCTTTAACTGATCAATCAGAATCTGTAGGTAGGTGTCAGCTTCAGCTAGCTTCTTGTCAAAGTCTTGAACACTAGGAACAAATCCCGTCTCAGCCTCCTAAAGACAAGGGAAGAAACACAGCTGAGCATCGGTGCAGTCCTCGACGCAGGTGTTGCAAAAGGTATTTGCATATTCAAAGTAAAGCACAAAACCACAGTCCATAAATCCAGGGCCGTGTATTCACATATTTATCTGTTCATTTACCAAAAAACAAACAAATAAAGGGGGGAAAGCCTCTCATATCCATCGCCTCCTGGTCAGGTAGGCTTTATAAACTGTTACACAAAACGGTGGAGAGAAACATCAACAGTTCAGGAGAATTTTCCAGCAAGGTACCGTAGTGAGGGAGACATGAGTACTATTGTTTAAAGGCTCGTCTACATGAAAGGCCAGCAGGTCTGCCTGCTTGCCTGATGGAGGCCAACTCGTTTCAGGCCCTGAAACAAAGCTGAAATCAGGACTCATGACCGGAGAGCATTCGGTTACGGGCTGAGGTGCACTCAAATTCATTGTTTGTTAATTAGCTTCCTTTAACGGCCCCCAGACTTCACACACACACACACACACACACACACACACACTTTGTTACATAATAGCCATTAAAAGGTAATTACTAGACTATTGGCAGAACAGACGTGACCAGGCATCTGTCTGCCTGTCTGTGCGCACCCACCAAAGCACCCAGAACAATCCAGTAAGCTGTGACACAAAACCAAAAGACGGGAAAACGGGAAAAAAAATAATTCACCCTCATTTAATCACCGAGGCTGTCAACAGCAAGGACACCGAGTGCCCGCGAACACACAACACCCGCCCTACGTCAAGCCAGCGGACTCAGGAGATGACTAACGGCGTGTGTCGACGCACTTTACCACTTTACAGCAGTTACGTGGAAAAACGCACAACACCTGAAAAGCCGCTCTGTCAAAACGAAACAACTGCTGTCAGAAGTCAAACTCTTATCAAACCGTGGTGGGTGTCACTGCTGCTTTGGAGCTGCCATGTTGCAGAGTCCAGCTGCGTCGCGAGTTTGAGGCGCGTTTTCTTGCAAACGAATGAGCTCCGATAGGAAAGTGAAGAAAAGCCATCAACACAAAGCCGGTGAAGTTTAAGCTTCGGGGAAACATAAATACTCAGCAGCCATGAAGCTATGAGGGCAAACTTCCTCAAAAGGATCAAAGGTGCTTGTTCAGCTTAAAGGGGAAAATGTAGCTGTCTGCATGAAGGCCTGAGCGAAAAATAGAGAAAACAAAGAAGGAAAAAAAGGCTGTTGCTGTGCGTCTCTGGGGGGTTTCACCCAGACTGGCACAAATTCTGAAGAAACTTGCCGCATAACTCGCTACACTGGAAACATGTAAGTGGAGTATTATTCCAGTAAGGCATCGCATCAGGATACCAGCGACACGCAGCGAAACAAGTCGGAGCGAAAATCTCTACAGGAAACTAATTTCACAGTAAAGTGTTACAAGACCGATTAGAGATGAACCACCTGAGCCTCGACGTTTACTCTGCACTGCGTGAAAAGTCAAAGAACAGAAGTGAACAAGACTCTACTTTCCTCCATGTGTATTTAAAGCTGACTCTACCTGCAGAACAGCCCGGTGCTCTGTTACCACCGCGCAAACGACGTGTCCTGTTTTGACAACACACGTGACACAGGGGAAGTGTTTTTCTTTCTTCTTTTAACGTTTGGGAGCAGAAAGTCAGAGGCAGGTGGTTGGTTTATAAACAGCCACTGTAGTGCTCACTTCTGCCCTGTTCTGGAAATACTCCCAGACTTCCACTCCCACGCGTTTGCAGCGCGCAGACTGTCCATCCCTGTGACACAGCAGCAGGGAGGTTTGAGCGTGGCCTCCAGTGTTAAATTAAGACAAAAAAAAAGAAAAACAACAACCCACCCCGCCCCCCACACCCACAGAGCAGACTTTACAAACAACACTGCCCTCGCACACTCCCCCCTCCCTCCCCTGTCTATTTGTCTTTCCACTCAGCGTGACCCACTTTAAAAATGCTGCTGTCCCAGTGGCGCTGCAGCCGCGTAGCTTCTCCCCTCGCTCTGGTGCAGCGGGGCTTTTGCCCGTCTGTGTGCTGTTACTTACTGGGTGCTGTGCTCCAACAGACATGCTGCAATAAGCCAGTGCATCTCTCAGTCCATTTAGCAGAGTGCAAGGTCGCTTTCTCTGCCTCCGTATCTCTGTTTTCCCCACAGCTACAAACCGCCAGCTCAGCTGAAGTCACATTCTTTCCTCCTCCTCCTTCAGCACCACAGACAAACAAAACAATTTCCTCCCTTTGCTCCCCACTGCGGTGTGCCAGCGTAAACCCTAGCAGCCTTCAGACTGTTAGCGGGGCTTCAGCAGCAGCTATCAGCTAAGCGTTGGGTCTGAGCCGACTTAATCCAGGACCCTCCCCTGACAGGAAAGCCACACTTCCTCTCGCACAGGCGGACGAGAAAACACACAAACCAACAGCAAGCGCTGAGAGGCATGAGCTTTAACAGCCACGGGGATTGGCTGAGACAGCCGAGGCAGATGTTTGGCCGATTGAGCAACCGGGTCTTGGATTGGGTAGCTGGGTCACATGATGCTTCGACAGCAGCGCTGCATAGGTGTGCGCATGCATGTGTGTCCGCACCGAGCACGCAGGCACACGCGTAGCACATCAAACGGATTTGCCACCAAAGGGAGAGAGGGAGGGCGAGCAGAACAAGAAAGGTGGGAGGGAGAGCAAAGCTTGGTTATGAGGATGAAGAGAGGCGATGAGGAGGAAGAAGCGTATCTGGATGAGGATGGGAGGGAAGGTTTGTTTTGAGGGAGGAGAGCAGGGAAAGAGGTTGAGCAGAGAAACAACTGCAGGGCAGGAGGAGCAATTTCTACACTCATAAAAACAGATAAACGCCGGTGGGACAAAAATGGCAGCAAGCAGGTCAGCAGCTGAGCAGACTTTCCATTAAACTTAAAAGCCTGCTCCTAAAACCTGTCCAGGCTGGCCACGTATTTCCAAACATCCTCAGCCTACGATGACGCAAATGTCAGCATTTTCCCTTTAATACAGACGTGAATTATCTTTCAGCTCTGCTCTCTTGAGGAAAAAACAGATACGAGCAATACTCGTAAAGCTTAAAGTGCTGATAACCTGCAAAGCCCATTCAAATCCATCACGAGTGTTCGGGTGTAGTTTATGCAAATACAGACTGCAGTGAAAGCTCTGATATTATTTTCATGGCAGGGTTTTCAAACTCGTTTACCTCTTCATCTAAACCAGGATCATCTTCAGGTATCACAAAGAGCGGCACGCTCGAGTTCGGAAATACGAACTGTGCGACGGGCATTTGTATAACTGGCAGGCAAACACCAGAGGATCCACAGAGCAAACAACTCCTCTGTTAACTGCAGTGGATTAGACACAAAGACACACATCCAAAGAAGCGCTTGGTTTCATACCCGGAGTTGGAGGGTGTGCCGGAGGATAGTTCCCTCTAAGGCGTGGATCCACTTCTCCCGCTCGTCTGCATCTCGGGCTGAGGACAGAAACACAGAGACGCACCCAGTGAGCCACGTTTTCCATCTGACACCATTGAAAGAAAAGAGTAATGAGAGCACTAAGATGACATGAGTACTGGTGACGCAGTGAGGGACACTGAATATTCACCTAGAAAGTTTCAGTGAAAACATGTTTACAGGTTTATTTCTCTCATGTCATTCGGTGACGGCAACCAAGAGATATTCTGGTAACTGTCCCCGTGCCATACATGAGAGCTGTACCGATCCTTAACCAAACTCATGCCGCCCAAAATGTCAAACTTTCCCTTCTAATCAGAGTATTCATCAGAGCTTGTAGGTCTGTGTCTAAATTGCATTAACATAAATGTCAATAAAGCCTCTTTGAATTTGAATGAATCTTTATGCATGTTTGAGCCTTCCACTGAATATAATGGAACTAAATGGGCCTTGGTCTTTGTGCTCACAGTACCAAAAAAACAAACAACAACAAAACTGTCTCTCTGGAAATCATGACCCGGTTTGCCCGAACCTACTAACCTCGTGGTGCGCGGTTTCATAGAGGAACTACACCCACTAAATGTTTTACAGTTTAGAAGGAAGTGTGCAACTACACGAAACTGCTCAACAACAAAAGGTGCACAGTTTCTTTCTCCTTTGTGTGAGCCAGTCAGTTTTTAAAAGGTGTTTTATTGGCGTTTGAGGCCTAGAAAGTGAATTCAGTTCAATTTTATTTATACAGCGCCAAATCACAACGACAGATGCTGAGCGAGCGCTTTAGTGACAGTGGGAAGGAAAAACTCCCTTTTAACAGGAAGAAATCTCCGACAGAACCAGGCTCAGGGAGGGGCGGCCTCCTGCCACGCCACCTTCATTATGCCCAATGAGGCAGGAGTCTGACAGACAGACATTAAAACTGAAGCTTTTTTAAATACGCTTCACTATATTTAACTCATACAGATATAAAATCTTTGTCTGCATGACAGTAATGGCTGAATCAATACCATAAAAGTGACCAGCTTTTATGGCAATTGTAAAAATGAGGACTTACAGCTCCTTTCCTGTGCTGCCACAGTACTGATTCTCATCTTTGTGTGAAGCAGAGCAGAGTGAGGCTGCACCCTCAGAGCAAAGACAGCGACATTAACCAATGACCCAGAACAGGCTCTGGCACATGCAGTACACACTGCAAAAGGCTCCTGGATGCTTTTTCCTGCCACTGGCATACGTAATATTGCATTTTCCTGCCAAGACATGGAATGAACTGAAGTGGATGGGTGCTAAAGCTGTACAGCACTGTGCCAAAGTCTGAGCCAATCCGTTTACTTTTTGCTAAGAAAATGGGAAACAGGTTCAGAAATCTATTGAAACGTGTAAACATATATGGAACTACAGTATATAAGGCAAAAAACCCACAGAGTTTATACAATAGGAATATTTCTGCAGGACGTTCAAGCTTTTGGGTGATGGCTGCCTTTTGTGGATTTCTCTGTCAATATGACCCCACGCGGCTCTGAGGAGACCAGTCTATGGCTGACAGTGTTTTTCTATCCAGGTGAGCTTTTACTGCACTGGGCGAGTGTTTGGGATCATTGTCATGCTGAAAAATAGAGCTGCAGCCAAACAGATGCTTTCCAGGTGTTACTGCATCCAAATCTGACAGTTCCATTAATTTTGGCAGCCCTCAATAGCTCTACCATTACAGATCGCTACAGACACAAATTTGGATTCACGACTTCAGAAGACCCGTCGCCAACGATCTTTAGTCCAGTTTCTGCGCCATCTTCAGATCGTCTTCTTGACACCCACAGAGAGACTTCAGCAAACAGTAGATGGGTCAGATGCATGTTTGTCTGTTTCTAAAGGACAGGACTTTCTGTTCGTCTGCTGCAGACACGTTTTTAGTCCTGCACTTCATTTATTTTTAAGGACACACTGCACACCATGCTGAGATATGCCAAGTTTCCACACAAACCTCTTTGGGAATCCCCTTGTTGGTGGAAAAATGCCTGTCAAAATGTCTCATCTTTAGCATTATTTCTAGACCCGTGTAGACTTGTGTATTATATGCAGACAAAACACTGGCCTGTGAATCATTTGAACCATTTAACAAAACAAAAAGAAAACACCCGTGTTAACTGGCTTAAAACACAAAACCAGAAATTTGCTGGGAAAGGTCAGGTGCAAAGACCGGACAGAAAAAGCAGCTAATGTTCCAGGTGAGGACAGTAATCAATACAGTCTCCAATCAATCTCCAAAAGCTGTTAACAAAGAACTAAATATGTCCTTGAATTAGCTCCTAAACTCCATCCTGTGTAAGAGTCATCTTTCATTGAGCTGGAAACAAGACAGAGCAGCAGATGAGCAGGCTAAGGAGCGCTACAACAGGAAAGCTTTTAAAGACATTAAACGGCAGCCGAGGCTCGGGCCAATCCACTCAGACAGCACCTCGCTGCCCTCTCGCTTTCCGACTCTGCAGGGGAACAGACCTGCTGCAGCTAATGTTGTTCAGCTCTACTCACGACAGCCAGGCCATCCAAGAAAAGCTAATACAGGAACTGTGTCACAAGTCCAATCTTTGTCCTAGTTACTGATTCACATCTGGAGCTGTGATTTGCTTTGCCAAGGAGGTGTGAGCACATTATTCATCCACCTGACAGGAACCTATTTTGTTAATACTCCACCAACAATCACGTTTTGTAGAATTTAAACACGTGACACAGAAAAGGGAGCACGCAACAGCCCGCCTCGTTAAACAATCTTTAACCTGCAAGCTCCCCAGTACAATATCTGCGGTATTCCCATTTGTGTCCAGGTGAGAAAAGAGCAGGTAATCGTGCAGTGAATTTACAATGAGCGACCGCCATGTGTCGTTTCTCCTGCACGCTCTACTCAGGAGCAGCTGACGCAAGCAGCCTCCTGCTGTGAGACGCGTGTGAGGGAGGACATTCAGACAATGACTCGACCTCCTTCTCAACAATTTCCAGAAATTTTGGAAAAAAGAAAACAAAAAGACAAAACTGAATATGCAAATGTTTTCAGTGAATGTTAGCAGCATCTATAGTATGTGTTTGAATTCATATCCTTAAATAAAATAAAGATAATAATTAAGGAAATTTGGGGATTCCAGTCATGCAGTTTTGCAGTATCGTCAAATTTAACCGAACAAAAAGGACAAAAGTCTGAAAGTTAAATGCTTTGTCCACAAACCTGCCATTAAACCCGCTCTTAAAGTTTTACGATGCCGATTCCACCCTGTATAAACGAAACAGTCTGACAGCTCAGCTGCTACTGCCACAACACAGCAAAGTGTGCAGACCAAACCCGTTACTGAAAGCTGGGCAATGGCAGCGAGGCCCAGCAGGGCTATCAGAGGCACGGACGGGAGGGACCGCACCTCACACCAGCGAGCTTCAGGTCAGCCACTCGCACGCGCTGCAAATATTAGAGGAAAACCCACAAACTTTCCCACACAGAACAGAAATAACTGCAAAATCTAACGGCTAAAAATAAGATCCCCAAATGCTGCTACCAAATAAAGACGAGTTTCCACACATGTAGCAGCGGTGCACAGTTCCACACACAGCGGAGATCACCTCACATCCAGCAAAAGGAACCGATACTAGAAAAACATATTTACAAAGGAGGGTATGTGTTGGTAGAATTTTCCACAGGATACAGCTCGTCTCACGAACGCTAAAGTACCTGCTGCGGATCGACCGATGTGTACAGGAGAGACTAAGTGAAAAGTTGGGAAAACAGATGAATTCAATAATATGATTAATTTGATGTCACACATTATTTTTCCCTCCTGTTATCCTTCAAAATGCAGGAAAATCTTTGCAAGCTTCTTTACAGTATCCTGCTGATTGCACAACATCATTATCTCACTGTAACTGAGTTTTTCAATGAATCCCTCCCCACATGCACCGAGCAGCTGCTGAATGGTTGTGTATTTGACTCTCCGGGGATGTGGCCAACTTTAAGTGAAGTCATGTGAAGTCAGAACTCACAGCGTGGTTTCCACACTACTTTTAAGCTCGATTCTTGTGGTTTTAACCGTTTTTCCTTATCTAACAATCAGGAAAATGAAAGAACTGGATGTGCAAGGATTTTGTGCCGAACCCAAAACAACAACGCTTACGTTGTCCCTTAAGGAGACCAGGATACTATCCACATGAACAACTATACAAAAAAAAAGCAATTCTGTGACTTGATGAGTCCGCGGACCGGAAAACCGCTCCAGCTGAGTATATAAACAAAGTTACGGTCACCTAAACTGTAAACAATGCCATTCACAGACATGTGGACACACGACAGATGGTGCATGTGCAGTTACAACCAACACACACAAATATCATGTCCAGTTTTGTACTTTTAACCAAATGATTTCATGTTAAACCGTCAGTGACGTCTGTTTATGACGCTCAGCACTTCTTCGTTATGCTGCTGCTCCTTTTTCCCCGTGTTAATTATTCAGCCCACTTCTTTCTCCTCCTGCTATCCTCAGACATGCTATGAGACGTCTGGTCACATGTCTGAGCAAGAAGGCTGATGCTAGACTACAAGCTGCCAATACTCTGACCCCGTAGCTCCCCCGGCGTGGTGCAGAAATCTTCTGAATGGTTACTTAATCGAAGGTGGATTGGTGGGGAAGTACTCTGTACTTTGCTCATTTAATGAAGATTAGAAGAAGATGAGCGTTGGCGACTTTTCAGCCTGACACAAACACCGGTTTCATTCCTGAAATAACAGAGAGGTCGAAATGAAGATAAAGCTGTGAACAAAACGTATAACACAAGGACAGAGCTGAGAGTGCAGGTGATGCTGAGGTGAGGGAGGGCCCAGGAGAGACAGAACAAGACGGAGAACACACAGAGGTCTCTCATCCCGGACGTGTGCT